CATAATGTTCTTTATGATTAATGACAATTAAGAGTAGCATTTTGCATTTCATTAGAAGGAATGCATAAATGAAGTTATATTCCACACTTCCCTTTGCAACATCAGCACTTTGGAGTGGCACAAACTCATAGAATGCCTTAGCATCACATAATATTAACTACATATTTCTAGTCACTATGCTGAATATTTACAGTACTTGACTACTTCCTGAGACAGTTTGTAAATTGTACTTTATGAAAGAGAAGTACTTTACAGATTTTATAGGACTACAATCATATATATATATAGTATAGCATAATAAACTGGTCTTTATTAAAAGGTACGATTATTCCTGCTGTAACTGAGAATTTATAATTTGAAGTAAACAAAAAGCATTTAATTATTCAATAATTTCAACAATTTCTGCTCTGTGTTAGGAACTACTGCAGACTAAGAAAAATACCGTATAAGAGGAGGGGCCTGCAGGGGGGGTCGTGCACGGGCGTGCCACACCCATAATGCAATGCACCCGACCCCAGCATGCATGCACGCATGCCCAGCGCTCCCCCCATTTTTGGCATTCTTTTTTCACCCTTCCCAGGCTCAAGAGGCTTTATAGGAGCCTGGGGAGGGCGAAAACAGCCTCCCCTCCCCCCGAGGTCCTCCGGACGCTTTAGATTCCCTGAAGCCTCCGGAGCACAAAAAACCCAGCCCTATGGGCAACAGACTTCCGGTTTGTTCGTAGGGTCATTTTTTGCCCTTCAGAGCCTTCAGGGAAGCCTCTGGAAGGCCCCTGAAGGCTCTGGAGGGCTAAAACCAGCCATACGAGCAAACCGGAAGTCCGTTCCTGAACTTGTGGTTTGCCCATAGGGCCGTTCTTTTGCGCTCCGGAGGTTTCAGGGAAGCTCCTGAAGCCTCCGGAGGACTTCCGGGGGCAGGGGAGGCTGTTTTCACCCTCCCCAGGTTCCTATAATGACTCTGGAACCTGGGGAGGGCGAAAAATGGCCTCAAAAGAAGGCCAAAGTCAGCTGGCCAACGCGCGCATGCACACAGGCCAGCTGACAGGGCAACGCCTCGTGTGCCCTGACAAATGACTCCCCGTGCCACCTGTGGCACGTGTGCCACAGGTTCGCCCTCCTGGCAATAGGCTATGGCAATCCCTGCAGCCTGAAACAGCTGATCATCAGGAGGCCCATGCTTAAACTGAAAGTGAAAGTGAAACTTGCTGTTTGGTGCAACTAGGCAAATTGTTGGGAGGCAGAGACAGATTTTTTTTTACCTGCAAGGAGGTAAGTCAATAACTATAAATGCCTATAGAAAGTTCAAATTATTAGACTTATTTTTTAAAGGCTGCTTTATTAATGTTCTAGACAACTTAACAAAACGAAGAAGCTTTTTAAAATAAATGCTTGATCTGAAGAGGCCCAGTGCTATTTTGTCTTCTTTTAAATAGCAGAGAGTAACTCGTATACTTCCAGAAAGCCACATCAATTTTAACAGCATCTGTACAAGTATAGTTTGAAATGTAACACCACAAACCGTGTATATGTACTGTTTGCTGTAAGGAGGCAAATTGCTGGGAGGCAGAGGCATACTTCCCCCCCTTGTTTTCCTCCCCAAAAGCTAGGTGCGTCTTATACTTCGGAGCATCTTATACTCCAAAAATATGGTACATTTTTAAAAATATGATTAAAAGGTTATTATGCCTGTTTCACTTTTAATAGTCATTATTCATAATGGCAACTCTAATATAGTATTTCAAAAAACTGAAATTTCTACATGAACAGGATATGTGATTTTTCTGATTATTGAAGGATTATTGTCATTACATGTTGAAAAACGAACAAAATAGCAATAGCAATAGCAGTAGACTTATATACCGCTTCATAGGCCTTTCAGGCCTCTCTAAGCGGTTTACAGAGAGTCAGCAT